GAGGAGAGGAGAGGAGAGGAGAGGAGAGGAGAGGAGAGGAGAGGAGAGGAGAGGAGGAGTTGTACAGAACATATGTCTACACTTTGCCATCTCACAAGCCTTTTCGCTATCCTACAAATGGATCCAGAGGCCATGTGGAGTTTCGTTCCAACATTATGTCACAAATCAAAAGAGCTTTTAAGATTGAAACATGCTTTATAAAGTCTCTTGAAGTCCCCAAATTCTGCTTTTCTAGGAGAGAAACACCATGGAAAGTTCCACCTACTGGTTTTATAGCAGCCACAATAACTTTTCTGCTTGGTGTTTTACATGCCTCAAGCCATACTGGCAGAGAGAGTTAAGCAGACAATGGTGAAAGGGCAAGCAAAGAGATTGTAACAAAAACGAGCAGATTCAGCATGGGTTATACTGTATCCGCATTTCCCAGAGTGGATTATGTAATTTACTCCATTGGAAAATTAGTTACAGGGAAAGGAGCCACTTTCTGCCCACCACACCTAAATTTCCACAACTCAGTATTCTCACTAATGATTATATATAATGCAATTTTGACAGGGATTACATCCTATCATGACTTAAATTACTTTTCCAATTCTATGAACATTAGTTGTAAGATGCTAGAAGAACCTGATGTCTTTTCAATTTTCTGTTTGTTTCATTCAGGCGGAGGATAATGATTATAAATTAGCAGTTTACCCCTAAGTCTGTAGCCTTCTCTGAGTTCCCAAGTTTTTAATGAGATCTGTGAAAATTAAGTAATGAAGGATATCCATGGGTTGTATTTCATCTCTGCTCAGTGCTCTGTCAGCTCTTCATTGTTCTAATTTTGCCAACTACTCAGGGCCCAGAATGATCTACTATCCTTTCTGCCTTTTCACCTTCTCAAAGTGAGAAGATTTACTGCAATTCAAGATATAATGATCTAGCAGCTTTAAAGGAGGGATATGACTTTCCACAGTTATACTCACCCAGAATCAAACATGCTTTGTTCTTTCCCAGATATAATATTAAACTTTGGCTATGGCTACCTTGTCTATTGGAAGCTGTGTACATGAAAAATTCCCCAGGAGTTGAACTCAGTTAATTTAACAGTTTTACTCTGTGATTGCCCATTCATATGCCAATATGTACATATAATCCCTTTTGCTATTAACATTTTTATTCAATAAATGTAATTTCAGCCACTTGCTTATCATCTTAGTCTCTTGCTGTTCTTTTTTTTTTTTTTAAAGTAGCTGCTCAACAATGTATTTTTCTTTCTTGGATGCCAAACTCCAGACACAGATATTAAATGTAAAATGTTAAAGAGAATAAGTTCATTTATTCATTCAAAAAACAGGCCACTATAATATCACTTTTCAAATCATTCTAGATATAGGAGACTATTATTCTCTACAATACTGCAGACAGATAGGAAGTTGGTGGAAACTGAGATCCATTACTTTTGCTAAAGGAGCTAAGATACATAATAGAATTAGGCTAAATGGGTAAACTTTGTGGGACATCGAAAAGGTATGTCCCAACGATAAACATGAGTTTGGAGATTTAATTGTACCCATGAAGATGAGAACATATAAAGTTCTTTTTATGCTTAGCCAGTTGGAATTAAATACAAGATTTAACAGAATTCATTTACCTCTGTGTAAATATGTCAGACCTGGGGAAGGGACAGAAACAGCATTGGTCACACTTTTGGATGATCTTTGGTGTGGGCGGGATGGAGGTTGTGCATCTATCCTTGACCTCTCGGCAGCTTTCGATACCACGGGCCATGGTATCCTTCTAAATCGACTCAGGGGACTGGGGATGGGCAGCTGGTTTGCCTCCTTTCTCTGGGGTCAATTCCAGTCGGTGGTGGTTGGGGAGGAGAGATCCCGCCCTTGGCCCCTACTATATGGCATGCCGCAGGGTTTGGTGCTCTCCTCTCCCCTATTTAATATCTACCTGAAGCTACTGGGTGAGCTCATCCATCGCCTGATCAATATGCTGATGATACCCAACTATACATCTCTGCCCCTGGCAAATTAAGCGATGCTGTGAATGCCTTATCCTAGTGCCTGGAGGCTGTGAGGATATGGATGGGGAACAACAGGCTTCAACTGAACCCAGGCAAGACTCAGTGGCTTTGGATTTTGGGTCCTGCCGGTTCTAGGATTATGCCATCTTTGGTGCTGGATAGGGTGGCGCTGCCCCAGACAGACCCGGTGTGCAATCTGGGGGTCCTCCTAGACTTGTGTCTCCTGCTCAAAGAGCTGCATTGGCTGCCAGTTTGCTTCCGGGTCAAGTTCAAGGTGGTTTTGACCTTTAAAGCCCTTCATGGCATGGGGCTGGGTTATCTGAGGGACAACCTCTCTCCGATTACATCAGCCCATTCCATTAAATCTGGCAGGGACGGTATGCTATGGGTTCCATTGGCCATCCACATTTGGTGGATCCTAGGAGGCAGGCTCCCTCCTTGTGGAACATTCTCCTTCCTAAAGTTAGGCTCGCTCCTTCCCTGTTATCATTTACGAAGTCCCTCAAGACCTGGTTATGTCATCAGTCCTGGGGGGTTTTGGGAACCAGAGACATTCTCAGATGGCTTCACTATGATTGATATTCTGCTCTCTCCATGGGGTTTGTAAATTTTAAAATTTTTGATAATATTTTTTATTTTTAATAATTACCTTTTATCCTTTTATAATGATTCATTTTATCTATTTGCTGTTTTATTAAATTGTTGTACGCCACCCAGAGTTGCTTTGGGTGAGATGGGTGGTTATATAAATGTGACTAATAAATAAATAAATATGCAGATGTTTGCTAATCTATAAATGCAGCAGACTTGAGACTATTATTTAATATGCTGGTCATGAAGCACATTCCTGAATGCTTATGTATGGAAGGCCTCATTGTAAATAGAAAGCTAAATGTGTTGTGATGATATTTAAGGATGTTTTGGATAGGACACAAGAGTTCCATCTAATATTATTCAGCCATATTTCCATTGACAAATGAAATTCTCTTCTTCCGCTTGTATTCTTCTCAAACTGTTCTGGAAAGGCCCAGAGTAAGGACACAGAAAAAGGATAGGAAGAAATTGGATATCCAATGACACTACAGAATGCAATTTAAAAACAGTGGAATCAGCATGGTTCCTTATTCTCCCTGTCCAACATTCCCTTGGCCGGGAGAATATGTAGAAAGCATGAATAACTTTTATGTGCTGAGGGTACAAGCTGGATTCCATTATTTCACACATCAGCATGCAACTGATTGACACAGAAAACTCATTGAAGATTCATCAAATCCCATGAAGGTGCCCTCCTATATAGATATCTGTGATCGCATAAATAGGAAGGAATATATTTCACGCCCAAGTTTTATTAACTTCCTATTTTTTCTTCAAATGTATGCTTTAACAGGGTTGTTTAATTTCAAATGTTAGAATTCATATAAATAGGAACAGTTAGAAATTGCATATATGCTGCCAAATAACCAGCTGCCAATTTCTCATGGGAACAATAATAGCAAGAAAATTACACTTACTTTTATTATAGCAGGTTGCAAATACACCTTTATCTGCTGGACTGGCACTTATGTGCCAAATTTCACCAACTTGGTGCAGAAGAACATTTTTGTTTATAATATTATTTTCATCATCAAAATCAATGATGTGAATCTGTAAATGCAAAACAAGAACAATGAACACATATTTTAATTTAAAGGTATTTTCAAAACAGTCAAACACAGCATGGGTTTTATTTAATTAACAAAAAGTTGCACCCGTCATTAAAACAAAGTAAGTTCCTGGACTGAAACCATTATATTATGACCATTAGTATTTCCAACTTCAGTAAAAAAAAAGATGAAGTGATAAAATATCTACAACACATATGAATTTCAGGCTAAATATTTCTACTAAACTTTTATAAAACTTCTGTGCTGTTTAAAACATGAAATCTAACAATTCAGATATTCAAGACTACCTGGTACAACTAAAGTGATTGCAACAAATAACATCCACAATCCACTTCTAGCCTTTTATCACTGAAGACAGTCATTAGGAAAAGAATATCATAATTCAAACTAATTTTCTTACCAGGCGAGGAAGAACAGGCAGTTCCCCAGGTAGCTCAAGAATGTGTTTACCATCTTGCTGCCTTCCCTGTTTTCTTATGGCAGAAGCTCTAAAGCAGTGTTTCTCAACCTTGGGCGCTTTAAGCTGTGTGGACTTCAACTCCCAGAATTCCCCAGCCAGCCATGCTGGCTGGG